TTATAATAAAACACCTTTAATCTAGATGGACTATATCAGAATGCACTAAGAGACCCAAGTTACGATGATTAGGAGATCTAAAACTGTGAGGTGGAGAAGTACAACTGTTAACGAACTTCTAAAAGTGATTAGCGATTAACCTGGAACAAAAAAGTCAAAGGTAGCGCTGTTGCTGGCCAGACGTATCTACGTTATATTCTCATATTAAAATTTGATGAATTGGATTGAAAACACTATTGAATCTGCCCCCTTCAAATAATATTGATTTGAGGTCTCTACGAAATGAGCGGATCAACATTCTTAGACATCCAGGCCGCAACTTTGGGGCATTGATGAACAAGACTAGTCTGGGAATACCGTGAAGCACTGAATAATAACTCTAATAAGCAAAACACAGTGAAATATCTGATAACAGGCATGACAAAACTCCTATGAAGGTTCCTCCTGGGAAAAAAACTGAAAAACTGACTCCAACAGAGCAGTAATCAACAGTGGCATCTCTGTCCATTCACAAGATACTGAACAGAATAGCAATAAAACAGAGACTTCAGCTGCAGGCAATGCAACAAAGAGATAGCTGGTGATGTCTTTTGTGAATGTGGGGCATTGAGACACAAGGGGCAAGCAATTTACAGACAAAGCCTGGAAGAATATGACAAACATTCAACAAAGGACTTGTTGTAACTCATAAAAAAGATGCTGAAAATATGTGAGAAGTTATGCAATAACCCTATGAAGTCGCAGTGAATTGTGGAGACTTGGAAAAATGGACAATTTGGACAGAAATTACCCTTCAATAATAAGGACCATGATTGAACTGAGGAAAAAATTACTATTTCACAAATTCCAATGAATTAACGTGAATGAACTGGGATTCGGAAGTTTCAATGACAATGGAAAATATTAATGATACAACTTTTTCGGCAGAATTCTAACTTTTCACATAGCTTGTTCAATGTTGAAACTTCATTTCAAATATGTCCAATTAAGTCAAAACACCAGCGAGATATAGCTGAATACATTAAGAAAACGAATGCAACATCGAACTATTATTAGTGGCAGAGGTGAATGCAATGACCACCTGACCACCTAATTCGCAGAACATAATAGATATTAAATGTGACCTAGTTGTTGACAAGGATGGAAATTGTATAAGAATTTGCACAGCGTGAATAGAACTTGAATGCAGAGTGAGAACTCGCTGACAAGGATAATTACTTTAATAACATAATTCCTTTGAACGTGTTTACTGGTGAAACTAGACACTTCCTATATATGTATAGTGTCGAATTCCTCCGATGGAATAATGCAAGGCATAACATAAAAGTAATACAAAGGTTCGATCATGACCTCACTCACTTTTAAGAAACTGAACATGAAACTTGACTATCATAAAAATCAATTTTGATATTTTCAATGATTTGTAATGTATTCCAATAATTTTGTATCTCTTATGGTTCCTTGCAGATGTATTGAATAAATTACCTATAGGTCCAGAGGATTAAAGTTATATCGTTATATTGTTTGTACCCAGTACAAGAGAGGCCATGTCGGTGCTTTTTGACATTCTGAAGATATATGTATTGTTAAAAATAATGACATAGTGTCTGAAGATATCGAAAACGTTTCAGGTTTAGGAATTATATTTAAGTGACCGAATTTTCAACTTAGTACATTCATTATTATCAGTGTGTGAAAAACTAGGTGTAATGTATTAAAAAAGTGAAACCGAACTGAAAGGTATGAGGAAAACCAAGTTACGACCATGTTATGTACGAAACAGCCAACAAATATTAGACTAAACCCAATACTAATGAACATAAAAATCTCATGTTTTAATTAATATAGAAATATAATTCATTTTCAATCTAATTCTTCACAACTCACAGCTCTCATTAACTTTTTTACAAATTTGCCTACACGTCAAAAGTTAAGATTATATCAAAGCATGCTCTTTCTCTTGTAGCTTCTACCTCATTTTACCCTTCTCTGGCAAGTGCTTCACCTATGTCCTACTGTATCTATCACTTTAGATACATTTAAGAAATATAAATATTCACATAAATGTCACATATCTTTCAATCCTGACTGATTCATGAAAATCATGAGAATCATTGCAAATATTAATGATAAATTGTTCATGAAGAACTATTACAATAGTGCACCAGAGAACAAACAAATTCTTGATAATCCCACTACTCTTTGATTTCTTGGATTTGTTTTAATAAAATACTCGCACATGAGAAGGATTACTTGTGAGAAGGTAAAATTGTCGATAAATATTTTTGAAACGATTGCTTCTTATGAAAATATTTGAATCATAAACTTTAGAAAAAGAAATCAGATATGTTGCTATGCTCCAAAACCTTTAATGCGATAGAGAAACTAAGGAATCGAGCAATAGAAGGTGATATTTTTTTGCGAAGATTACCAGTATCGAATTACACATTCAGTGGGTACTAATTTTTCTTTCGAAAATAATAATTTGAGTTATTCAAGTAATTTGAGTCGGGAAGTAACGCAAGAATGCCATGAAAATTTCGTGTTCCTTTATTCGATAGAGAGTGATGCATAAAAATTCATTGAAATGATTCCTACTATTCTTGGAAATCTGGTTTTTGATAAATTGAGTAAGGTTCACGAGATCAGGTTCGGGGATATGAGAAGACTACGAGCAAGCTTACCAAAGGAGAAACTCATCTTAGATTTTTGTGCAGAGCTAGAGACAACATCATCCCCAAAGGTGTTCTGCTGAAATCGCCATTCCCAGGAGATAGAGAGCCAAACGCATATTGGAATGCGCCAGCCGAGCACTGACTAAGTCTCAAATTAATTACCACCCTTCAAAGAGGTCAACTGTGATGCAGGATGCCACAGAACGATTTGAAGAAATAAGAAGAGAGACCTTGGAAGAGGATCATGGACCAATCTTTGCCAATATTGAAAGCAAGTACCTGAAGATCCGCCAAGACATGGAGAATACCCACAACAGAAAGTGAAGAAAGAAAGTCAACTATGAAGCCGCCAACGTCAACAACATGAGCTCCCGTCGCGCCGGCTCACGGACATAGAGGAATGCTTGTTGAGGAAAGGTCTAAATTTCGCTATTGTGCCAACATCTGTGCCCACTTTGGAAATAGTGGAATCCATCAGTTCCCTTATTGATCAGATAGAGGTAGAAGAATTCAGATGGAAAATCAGAGAACCGCTAGATCGAGAACCAGTTCCAACATCAAACATCAGCAATGAATAACGAAGATCTCTGAACGGCCTACGTAGAGATAACACCATCAACATCCTACCTGCAGATAAGGGAAACCCTACTTTTGTGATGGATACTGATCTCTACAAACAGAAGATCGTAAGAGGTTCTTCAGAAAGGACAATATACAAAGATCATACGGGATCCTACTACATCAATTGAAAGAAAGTTGTAACAAACTTTGAGAAAAAACACCAACTTCATTTTTCGCTAACACCTCACCACAGTAAGCCCCCCCACTTATATGGACTACCCAAAATCTACAAGAAGGATGTTCCGCTCAGACGGATCATTAGCTCCAGATATTCAGCTATTCAAAACTTGTACAGATTTTTACTACCAATAATAAAACCACTGTTAGGAAAAACATCATCTTTTGTGAAGAATTCAAGGCATTTTGTCGAACTACTAGGAGCAATCTAAGTCACCAGAAGACGATTGTGGATACTAACAATCGAAACGTCGTGAACTAACGTGACTTGGAATCTCTACACTTTTTTATTTTTTATTATTTTCTTTTTTCATTCCTTTAATTTTTATTTATTCAATTATTATATTTTTACTTGTAGGTTATTTCACTATCATTTCATTTCAGGTTTATTGTTGCTTAATATAATTGTTATTTTCAACTATTCTTTTTTAATTATTCTTTTTTACTTGTTTCAGGTATTTCAAATCATTTTATATAGTAAACAATGGAAGTCCAAAGTAGTGAAATTCATCACGAAACATTGTCAATCACCTTCAAACAAATGTAATGATAATAATGTTCATTTTCGTGTACATTGATGCAAATTACATACAGTGAAATACAGAAGCCATAGTTATATAAAGCTTGTTGATAAAATATACTATGAAAGTGAACATCATATAAAAAAACAAAAGAAGGATATACTACTTACACAGGCGCCATCGCCAGCAACAACTATTCAATGTGCATTCGTGCATATCGGAATAATACAACACTAATTATGTTAATACGCTTATATCATTTAGGTATCTATACAAAAATCTAAATACGTTCAGTTTATTAATAATACCTACATTAAATTTCAAATATACTGTGGATTGCGCTCCGATCTGTGATGCGAAGGATCGATTTTATTATCTTTTCAAATAAATTCAACGAATTGACTCTGTTCACATTGTTTCTAGTTTCACAGCAGCATACAACTGCATTATATCTAGTAACTTTCTCTCAGCTAAAATAGTATCCGAAGGGTAAGTTATTATTTTATGGTATATTATTTTGAGTAAACGCTGCTGGAGAATTAATATTTTTTTCGGATGGACCCCTGCTGCACTTCCCTGAGCTATAATTGCATATTGCAGTTGCGATTCAACCAATGAATTATGGAGAATTCTGAGGTGAGCGACAGTCGTAAGTTTCTGAGATTATGGATCCAAAGAATTTAAAAGACAATTTGTATTTCTGAAGATGCTAATTACTTATGATGACGAAACGTTGGAAAGCTCATTCAAAAATACAATCCGATAATTACAAATGCCTTCATTTTATCATTAATCATCAACATAAACATGTGTCTTTCTTCTTTTCTGTTCGGAAAACATTAAAAAATAGCTATTCCATGAAGGATTGTTTGGATAAAATCTGTGAATTACAAATCTTCAAAACCGTTAAATCTATACCCGGTACTATACACAAAAAGTTATGCCAATTGTACATAGTAAAACAAAGGAATTTAATAAAGAATTTCTCCAAATAACTTTTTCTTACCATAGACATCCATCGTCCATCGCCAATAATATCTTCTGGAGGCTCCGGTATCACACAAGGGTTCATCATATTTTCTTTATATTTCGAATGGAAACTAGAACCAACAAATAACCGCACTGGAACCAATTCACGAACTTCCTGCCGTATTCCTGCTGTAATCATCTAGTTAGTGTTACTAACGTTTGAACGCATTCATAACCTCCACTCAATCGTGATCGTGATATATCCGGTCTCCAGCAGAATTAAAGGTAATTTTGAAATACTCCTGCTTGTCATGCTGATCTCTTCGGCAGTTGACACAGAGATGGCAGGGCGAAATAATTTCTGAGAAAACCGTGAACAAGCGTGAACTGCACCCAGCCTTGAAGGTAATTTTATTTCAGATATTTCTTGTTGTCCTTTCAGCACTCAACGTAGAGATGGCGGTAGCAACGGTAGCAAGATCGTTGTTGCGAAATGAACATTTGGAAAGCACTGTGATCGGCTATTTTTTTCTATCGATAACAGATTGATTTAGAGCATAGTTTTTTCATCTGGGTTCATCTGGTGAACGATAGGTTAGGTCAATATCATCTCGTATTAGAATCTTGTTGAAGCATACATACTTTTTGAAAATCTCTTTTTTAGATTGCAAGCGTATTACTTCCCGGGAAGCAGGAATCTAAATGAATCTTTATTTGAGATGATGATAAAACATCAAGAACTGTGAACGGAAATATTTTTACATCAAACACTGATTTATTTAGAGCATACAATTTTCCAAATTTAGGTTCAATAAGTAGAAATTGGTAAACGGTAGATAGTTAGATTTTCACATCTGGTATCAGAAAAAAGCCTGTTGAAGCATATATACTTTTTGAAAATCTCCTTTTGAAATTGCCACCCTATTGTTACCCCTCACGAAGCAGGAATAGTTACAAGTCTTGCCATTTGAAACGGAGAAACATCGATCTTTGAAGAACTCGCAACGTAAGAACTCTTGAAAAAATAACCCATAAATATATTTCGTAAAGAGGGATTAAAGTTTTTAATAATTGCGGGTTATGGAGGATTCATTATACTCGAGACAACCTTTTCAGAATTGATCCTTTTCCAAATAGATTTTTACTTATATAATCTTCTGAAAGTTTCAGAAACATATCTGAAAAACATCTCGAGATCACCACAAATTAGAGTTGACAGATTCGTAATAATAATCTGTTTGAAACAATCTGTTTGAAATATGTTCTCCTTCAACTCCCAAAAGTCGGAACTGAGGATTAACTAGGTCTTACCTTTTAACGTGCGATTCCTAACACGGCTTGGGCGGTAGGCAGTGAAAATCGATAGTCCGGCCTCACAACTTGAACCACCGTTTCACCTAACGGTCGATTGAATGAATGGAACAAACCACTCACGCCAACCCAACTGGCTACCGTTGCAAAAAATGTCTAACAACCTCAATAAAACCTATACTAGAGCCTGATTTCAATCCTTTTCGGATAATAATACATGCTTATGGAGTTTCGGATATCATATATTCATACCGAATTGGCTTTTGGCTAGAGGTTTACACCGTGAAGGGCGGTACTGATATCTGAGGACTTTCATCCCGCCACCACCTCTCAGTCGCGAATCCATTTGTCCTTCTGACAAAAATCAGCTGCAAGGGTAAGGGAGCTAGGCTCCAACCTGTCTGAACTGAAGATGACTTTCTACTGGCTAGAGGTTGTGGAATGATTAATTTCAACTCCGAATAACTACCTACATCACACAGATCTAAAATAACAATTCGGTATACCTCTGAAAACATTTCAGCTGATAAAGCTGACAAACCGATATTTGAAATTTTGGCTAAGGATTGTAAATATAGCAACGTGCAAACTGGCCGATACTTGATGAAAATCTATGTCAAAACTTACTATAGTACAATTCTATAATGGTAGGCACTAAATTCTCAGAAATATTATTGCATTGAAACGAAAACATAGTTGTCAAGGTTTGATTCTTTATATTTTATAAAACAACAATAATATTATAGAAAATACAAATGGGTACAAAAAATTACTTCAGTATCAGTGTGAAACAACAGTATCAGTTCAGTTCAGTATCAGTATCAGTGTGAAACAACAAAGTTGTGAACAAAAGCAATACCACTTATGTTGATTGAATATTTAGTATGGCCCTCAACTAGAAGGACTTTCAAAAGTTAGTCAAAGACACTATGAAGGCGATAATGTCGGATCAAACCTTTATGAAATAATGTCGAAACATCAAGAGAAGATAGAAGAGTATGAAAATTCAATTGTTATATTTTTACTTGTAGTTTATTTCACTTTTATTTCATTTCAGGTTTATTTTGCTTGATATAATTGTTATTTTCAGCTATTCATTTTTAATTATTCTTTTTTTTTCTGTTGTTTCAGGGATTTAAAATCATTTCATATAGTAGACAATGGAAGTCCGAACTAGTGAAATTCGTCATGAAACATTGTCAATCACCTTCAAACAAATTCCTTTCAGTTATCGCATGACACAAAGTTTTTGGGTGTTTACATTGATGAATGGCTGAAATGGTCACAACATATAGAGAAAATCTCTTCGAAGCTTGGAAAAGTGTCCTATGGACTGAGAATAATCAGTAAACATCTAGAAAAGCAAGCAGCTTTATCTCTTCACTTTGCAAATTTTGAATCTGTCATGAGATAGGAAATAATTTTTATGGGGATCCAACAAGAATACAAAAAAGAGTAATGAGAATAATCAATTACAAACATTATAAGGACTCTTGTCGAACATTTTTTAACAATAATAACATCATGACTGTATATGCTCTGTATATTTTTGAATGTTTGATGTATTTGTTTGAAAATAGAGAACTTACAAATATAAATGCTGCAGAACACGAATATAACACCAGGAGGCATGACCTCATTTATCCATATCATATATTGAGACTTAATGAAAAACCTCTCTATTATATGGCAATGAAATTTCACAAGTTACCAGTACTTGTTGAACATTCTGCTACACACCGTGGGGTAAGTAATCATTGGGTCTGGGAATCATGTGCCCTGAGCAAGCGCAGTGAGCCAAGAATGACAGCCTTCTGAATTTGAGCGGCTAAGATTTCTGCCTTAGTTCGGCAAGCCAGTATGATTTTAAGATTAGAGAGTGGACAGGGCATCGTTCCACCAAGAACTCCAATAATCAGAACAACCATCTTGACAGATTGATCTGGATAGAGTCTGCGGTGTTCGAAGAGAAAATCTCGATATTTTACATGTTTTTCCTTCTCTTTTCTGACGATATTTGTTTCGCCAGGAGCTGAAAACTCCACGACAAATATAGTTTTGCTCTGGTGGTCGAGAAGGACTATATCAGGCTTATTAGCTTGCATGATCCTGAGGGTGGTGAACGAATAGTTCCAATAAATTCGGCACTTCTCGTTCCCCACAACGGATTCAACATCTCCCGGAGCTTAGGGCAACACCGATGTCTCGTCAATACCGTAAGAGTGACGTAGATGGTAATATAGCACTCTTAGGGCCGCGTTATGTCGATGGATATAGGCCGAAACCGCATATGCTGGACATGCTAATAGCAAGTGAATTAGGGTCTCGGGCGCTTCGCGGCAGGCCCTGCACTGTGTGTCAGGAACCTCTTTACCCATCACGCGACTGCTGTAGACTAAGGTGTTGAAGACACCATCCTGGCAAGCCATGATGAACTCCTCAGTTTCCGACTTCAGTCCACTCGACCTGAGAAAAGCGAACGTCAGGCGCTTTAATACGCCAAGGTCTCCAATGTTCTTGAAGAAAACCCCATGCATTGGCTTATCCTTGTGTCTCCGCAGAAGTAAGGTGATCTCTGCGGCTTTTATCTCAGCTTTTTGCTGAACGGGTTCCAACTCGGTGACAGAGTTGTGGTCACCACGTTCAGAGTTTTCGACTCTGAACGTGCCAGAGTCGAAAACTATACCGAGTTTACCAGTTGCTCGGACAGCTGTCCTAAAGAGAAATGCTCCAATTCCGGCTCTCTCATGGTCACGGACCATGCAGAGAAGAGGATCCGAACTCCTGACGACTTTACAGGCTGTATCCAGTATCATTCTGTCATGTAGACACTCTAAACTCAAAAGTCCACGGCCTCCCTGTTGTCGGGGGAAGTACAACCGTGGAATGGACGATTTGGGATGCAAACCCCTATAGAGATGAATCATTTTTCGGGTCTTTACGTCGAGTTGATACAGCTCCTCCCGAGTCCACTTCACTACTCCAAACGAGTAGAGTAAGATTGGAACGGCAAGCATATTTATTGCAGCAACTTTGTTCTTCCCCG